CTAACTAAGTTAGGAATCTCTCAAAATCACGTGCTTCTAACAATGTCGTTAATAGCACTTCGTAGTTCCATCGAAATATACAATGAATTCATGGACTACGACGCCCCTCGGACGCGCCGCGGCGCGCAACCCCACAGGTGATTCAGCAACCTGTGGGAAAAACTTCTGGCCATTTTAGCCCTACTGCACTTTATTTCAAATGCGGCGTCTGATTTTATGCTTTTAATATATTATTATTATTATACTTATTTATGTATTTATGCATTTTATCTGTGGTGTCCAGCTTCGGCTTATTTTAAAATGTACTCAACTCACCTTATTGGTGACCACCCCTATTGGTGGAGGGTGAGATTGGTGTTGTGCCAGCGCTAAATTTAAACTATCATATCAACAAGCAGGAATGCGTAGCGGTGATCTGGGCATGCAAAATGTACCAGTCATATCTTGATGGGAAAAAGCTCTAGTTTGGTTAAACCACTTGCAAGAATGTTTATTCGATATGTATCATTGCCAAGGCAAGGATAACGAAATGTCGGATTATCTGTCTCGACATCCGGCTAATATACCGTGCCGAGTACCAGATGGCAGTAAGTTAGTTAATAATTATAATAATAATATGCCTTTATTTTTCATGGCGGGTATATCAGCTGATAGCTGCTTTTAGTACATCTCTTCTCCGCCGCTGAAGAGCGAGGACGTGTGTGCGATATATCGCAAATTTAAAATTCGATTCAAGAACATCTACCAGGTCGCGACGCCCAGGACAACGGGCAACACACGTGTAGTGGCGAGGATAATGCGTGGGAGTGAAGGCAGCGGGGTGAGCATAAGGGGCTGGTGTCAAAAAGGCGAATAAGTACTGACAACGTGGTTCTAACCTAAAACCGTACTTTCTAAGGTTAAGGGCCTCACTATAAATCGATGGCCCCACGATAGTTATTCTGTCTTTGGGCATCGCACATTCAATAGCTGGCAGCATAAGGTTGCGACTAGCAACCGAGGGGCTCCCTGCAAGAAGAGAGGAACTGCAAAAACTGTCTTTTATATGGCCTTTTGGAAGCAGACCTGCAAACTTACAACGCAGTGCTCCTCAGGCGACATCTTCCCAAACCGTATCCAGGCCCAATGAAGTTGAGGCCAAGGTCGAGACACACTGCAAGCAGCAGGGTTGGGTGGTTCGGAAAGAGCCGCATGTCCCGCATGCAGATGGCACGCTCTTCAGGCCTGATTTGGTAATCCACCAGCAGGACAAAAGTGTCGTGTGCGTCCGCAGTTACGAGCTAGCAGCCGTTGCGAGTGTACACTTGTGCGACTGCGACCCACCTGGACTTACTGTGCGATATTATTGCGGTTTTCATCGCGATACGATTGCTGGCGAGGATCGAGAAGCTGACAAGCCAACTAAAGCAGAAAGAAGATGCTTTCACCATGCTTGCAGAGCAGATGAAGAACCTGCAAGAAGCTTACATGCAGGCATAACAGGAGAAAGAGGAAGTCAAAGGGAAGCTCCTCAAGGCGAAGAGGAAGGCAAAGAAGACCCTAGCAGAAGAAGAAGACGAGGACCAGCAGACCACATCAGACAATGAGATTGATGCCCAAGAAGAGGACAGCCAGCAACAGGACGACACAGAAGAAAAGAAGAGGTCAGCCGACAAGGGCGACTCGGACTACAGTGTCCTCACCAGGCGGAAGAAAAGAGTAAGGATTCACTCCTCCGACGAAGACGATGCACCCAGGCAGTCCAAGAAGCCAGCTGCCACCCAGAAGAAGAGTCCTAGAGAAGCCAGGACCATCGTGGCCCCCATGTTAGGAACAGGAGTTCCTCCAATCAACATTGAGGGCACCGCTGATTGGTCATCCTTAAGCAGGATGATCAACAATAAGGGAATTCAATTCTCCAAGGCGAGGACTGCAGGGAACACGGTGAAGGTATTCACCAATACACCGGCTGACTACCGACAGCTAGTAACCCTGCTAGATGCAATGAAGAGGCCCTTCTTCACTTACCAACTGAAGGAGGAAAGGATGGACCAGAGGGTAATTCGAGGACTATCCAGGGAGATGTCAATTGACATCAAAGAGGATCTAGTGAGCCAAGGGATCGCAGACGTCGAGGTTCAACAGATGAAGACCAGGAACACCCAGGAACGGCTACCGCTCTTCCTCGTGAAGACGAGGATGGCGGAAAAGCTGCAGGAGGTCCAGAGGCTGGCCATGCTCACGGTCAGCTTCGAGAAGAAAAAGAGATCGACCGAGCCCAGCCAATGCTACCGCTTCCAGCGGCACGGGCACCAAATGAAATTAACATACATACATACATAAATTCAAAAAGTATTAAGCAATTTCTAGTATAGTCAGAGCCTTATACAATAGATGAGTTCTATGGGAGTTGTAATAGTATAAGATAGTACCTGTTTTAAGATAAATAACCATATAACACAAAAAAAGGTCTCAGGTAAACTACTATAGTTATGGTAACAGTGACGCAACATTTCATTTTGTAGTGGCTATACAATTTTTGTAATGTCATTGTACAATTTGGAATATAGATGATTATTATTATTATTATTATTATTATTATTATTATTATTATTTGTATTATTATTATTATTATTATTATTATTATTATTGACTAGGAGACTAGTCCCCCCCAACGGCGTGGAAGCAGAGGACGAGGACCAAGACGACCACGACCTGATCCCATCAGGACCAGGATCAACCAGGGCCAGGACCCATCAGGACCAGGACCAGGAACAATATATAGGTAAGAGGACTTGAAACTCTTGATTTTTCGAAAACAAGAGTTTCAAGAGAACCTAGCAGACCCTCTATCGATGATCGCTTAACGACATCGATAGAATGTGCGAGGTAAAGGGAACCAACCTGGCGTTCCCAGAGACTGAAACACATGAGGAGACGTTGTAGCAGACCGCAGGTCACGCACAACACATGGCCTACCGAGACGCTGATAAGTCGGGCCACGCGGAGGTTTAGGGTTTAGTGGGTATTAGGTGGCCTCCTCAAGACAACCTGGAGACCTACACACGCTGTAGCTCGGGCTATGGTATGGTGCATAAACGCATTCCCCCCTCACCAGAAAAAAAAATGTGTGCGACGTCCAGGTATCATAGGACGGAGTGTGGGCAAATAAAAAGGCGATTTACCACAACGACAAGTTCATAGCAGCGGCAGCCAGGAAATGGCCTGGGAAGACTCTGACATTTGCGCCGTTCATTCTAGGCGTGCGCAGAGTCTTCCACCACTGCAACTAACCAACTGTAGAATTGTTGCGAATGCCACAGCCGCTGAAGAACAGCGCAGTACACTCTGTGCTCAAGTGGGGGTCTAGTTCGCATTCATACTTCATGAGGAATGTAACAGGCCAAAACACATCCCGCCGCGGCTATAACGGAGCGAATCGTGGAAACGCCAATGCTCGAAGGAGGGGTCGCATTCCAACGGATCCTGCAAACTTACAACGCAGCGCTCCTAAGGCAACCTCGTCCCGAGGCATACGCGAAACATCGATTCGCGATAGGCCGGCTGCTAATGCGACTGCTCCACCCTCTGCTAACCTTTCTGGAGGGCGCAGTCGAGAGGCAGCCGTGCCTCCACCTCCCGTAAATTTCGTCCAGGGTGACATCTTGACACAATCTGCAGTCCCCCCACCTTCCGGACTTGTCGACCCGTCTGCACGATAAGCCAACAGACGTATGCATTTCGGGCAAGACAAGCGCCAGCATAAGGTTGCGACTCGCAACCGAAGGGCTCCCCGCGCGAAGGGAAGAACTGTTAAACTTATACAGGCAGTTTTACCTTTCGTACGGCCTTTCGGAGGCAGACGCCGACTCGGATCTCAACGCGCTGCACAATCTGACCCAGACTGAACGGATGGTACACTTACAAAGAGCCCGGGAAACGCAGTATAAATATACAAGACCTCTCTAGCGTTCCTAGGTCAGTAGCAACATCGTGACATACTCCGTTGCTGTCAAATTAGCCTGCGTGCTGGCACCATTATATGTGAACCCATCTGCGCATGGGGTTAAAAATCCAACCCTTCGGGGACATGTATTGATTCTCATGAATAAATATTTTACATAGCCAAATGCCTCGTCATCTAATTAGTGACGCGCATGAATGGATTAACGAGATTCCCACTGTCCCTACCCACTATCTAGCGAAACCGCTGCCAAGGGAACGGGCTTGGAAAAATTAGCGGGGAAAGAAGACGGGTAAACGGCGGAAGTAACTATGACTCTGCAACTTCCATTTTTCAATAACGCAACTCCCACAATTTAGATCGTCAAAATTCACTAATAGGCATTAATTGTGGTTCAGCAAGGTTCCACAAACTCCACCTGCATTTTTTTTCGAAATCCATTTTTCAAACCCCCAACTCCCGGGGTTGTTACCGTTCGATTCGAGAACTCCCGGTGTTGATGAACACCAGAACACCCACTGTATCCGCCCCCGACAGGTGAGCGGGATCGCGCAACTCCTCGCACCTGGAGGGCCAACTCCCTTCTTGTGCTTGAAGTGATCCCGCAACTCCGCGTCGGATTTAGGTCCTTGGCTTGGTCTCTCTACACCAGTGGAGTGGAAACTTCCTGCCTCAACTCCCGAGGCCAGGAAGACCCCCTGACGTCGAACCCCGCAACTCCCGGGCAGAAGCAATACCTTGCACTGCTCTTAATCGTGAAACCCAACACGATTCGGTAGTATGTCTTACCCCGAGGCTCCGACTCCATCTGATAGGTGGATGGACAGCCATTCCGCCGCCTCAAACAACAAGGCGGAAGCAAAGTCGAACGACGCAACACGTGGCGACACGAGGAGGAACAATACTGAGAATACCTCTCAGCGTATGCAAACGAGGATGGCTGAAAATGTTACCGCAACGGCTTCCAAGAACCATTCTGGAGGTTCGCCATCCCCAACATCACCCCATGGCAGAGGAGGCCGACCGGCCAACAATTGTCCCTGTGGTCGGTCATTCACTACACTCAAAGGCCTCCAAAACCACTCAAGACGATGTCCACAGGCCCCCCCGAAAAATCCACAGGGGGCCATCAACACCAACACCACAGACTGGCAACAGTGCAGCTTCTGTGACAGGGCTTTTCAAACCTACCCTGGCATGAGGCTGCACACCAAAAAGGCCCACCCGGTGGAGTATAACCGCCAATTGGCAGAAAGCGCACCGCACTCGGAGGCGGAAATCATGATAACGTTAGCAAATATAGAGGCTAACCTGACCCCCGAGAAAAGGTACTTCTTAAAAGACATGGTGGCGGCAACGGGGCTGACAAAACATCAGATCCGTCATCGAAGGGATAAGCCGTTATATAAGGAGTACCTAGCCCTGGTGAAAGAAGAAGCACGCGCACGACTAGGAGCGCAGACCGCTGCCACAACGGAGGACATGAGCAGACTTCCACAAGCTAGTTCTCCAGTCAGCAAAAGCAGCCATGCTCCGAAAAGTCAGAAGTTCAGCCCAAAGCGAGCTATCGGCTATGGACTACGGAAGTTCCGAAATCTCATTGGTAGCAGGGGTACCGAGGAAGGAGTAGACGCGCCACAGAGGCAAAACTAAACAAATGCCATCTGTGGACCACAGTACGTCTCCACACCTCCATCTGCTGAACGAAGAACTTCCGTTGGGCGACTCACCACGAACAAAACAACAGAGTCGCCCGCAGCGGCGCGTTTAGCCAATTCAGCGATTGTCATCCACGCATCCCAAGAGGCTGGGCCTTCAGGAACCGCCCAACCAGCTAGAAGGAACGCCCAAGAAGATTCGGACATAGACAAAGACTGCTAGTGTGAGTGACAGTGCCGTGCAATTCAATGTTGTAAACTCTAATATTGTAACTGACGCGGACAGAGATACTAATCAACTGGCACAATCGCGGGTTACTTTGGGAGGCTCGTTGCGAGAGAGCTTGCTGGACGCGAAATACACCGAGCTTCCGGAGGAAGTTAAATCCTTGATAGACCTGGCACTACAAGGTCGCAACGACCCTCTAACGAAGGCTCTCGACGACTTCATAGCGTCGCGGACCAAGTCTGCCAGAAGACAAAGGAGCACCCGCCGGCCAGCTGCGAATAACGCCCCAAGACAAGGGGGCGAATACAACTACGGCCGTTTGCCGCTACGTAGTCTGGTTCCGGAAAACAAGTCTGATGACGAACCAGATCTCGCTAGCCCTCAAACTTGTTTCCTTCTCGAGCGTGACGATCTGTTAGCTGAGATGGCAGCTTCTCAATAAGACTGTCCTGAAGTAAAGGATGCCATCGGTGAATGGGAAATGCTAAGGTCGTTATCTCCGGAGGAAAGACAACGTCTTGAGCCATGGGAAAGTTGCCTTTGGGATTCATTTGAGGTCAAATATGGTCTGTGAAAATAACTATCCATGGAAAATAGTCAAGCCAGACAGCTACTAGTTCCAAAACACAAGCTTGACCGACTACTCCATCGATTCCACGGCCACGAGGATGCTTGTCAGCCTGGGGCACTGGAAACGTACAAATCTGCAACTAGACTGTACTACTCGACAGGTCTAATGGACTTGATGAAACGCTTCGTACGCGCAACCAGCCGCATCCCAGATGCCGACTCTCCCTCAAGAACCTTTCCAGGTCATAAGTATCGACCCCATGTGGCCTTACCCAAAAACCCAGGCCGGAAATATGGTCCTGTTTGTGGGAACTTGCATCGCAAGTAAATGGGTAGAGGCCGAGCCCAGGCCGGATGCAGTGTCAAAAACAGCCACCAGTTTTCTGCATAGCATATGCACAAGGTGAGGATACTGAAAAGAGGTCATCAAATATGGTTCAAGCACTTTTCAGGATCCACCTCGAAAAAAACATCATTGAGCACCGGATCTCATCAGCACCAAAGAGCGAACCCGGTTGGGAAACGAAATGCAGAGCTGAAAAAGAGCAATACGTGCAAGAGTACTGGGAAAGACACCTGAGCAGTATACTCTTCGCACTTCGAAATAGGACGAATCTCACCACGGGAATTACCCCTACCGAGTACGTCACTAGATACACCCTATGTAGGCCTGGTGAATGGAAATATCCAAATTTTCAGTTCAAGCGTGCCCACAGGACTGCCAAAATTCGGCAAAAGCGCCGAAAACAAATTAATAGTATATGCCAGAAATTTGTTCCCGCACGCCACTGACACCCCAGCTGTCTCATTCAAGCCTAGAGACCAGGTCATGAACGGCGAACAACGAAATGAACTATTTGCAAAAAACTGGACGAGTATTTATTTCACTGATTATTTTTATTTTCATTTTATTTCATGGTTTTGAGTGATACCATAATAATAATTTTAGTGGGGAGTTTTTGTTTTGAAAAAAACAGTTACGGGTAGAATACCTTGAGACAGGAACACCAAAGACCAAAGTATTATTCGAAAACAACCCTACCTGCTTTAAGATAACCTAACTTTTCATCTTTCAAATATGATCGATCATACAACATGAAAACTTCGTCTATCTTTGTCGGATCCATGCAAACTAGCAATACAGTTTGTTTAGACAATAAAATTCTGTTTGTCTCTGTCTAACATATCTGAAACTTCTTTAAAAATATTCACAAATGTCTGTCGTTTGTCTTTTCTACAGACTAAAATGATGACGTAATCGTCATCTTTCGAGATTTCGACTTTATCATTGTAGTAACCGTTTGTCTCCTAAGAGAAACCTTTTTGACAATTCAACGAATTTAAGTCGCATAGAAACAGTATTTACACTTGTACCACTGGTGGTCAACTCCGGCTGTTGACAAAACATCAGGTGGACAACCGATGGTACAGGTCGTCGTCAATGGGTCAAAAAATCGGATTAACAAAATTTCTTCATAGCAGCCGCTGTGTTCTGGCATTTAGTCTTTTACAAAGTGAATCCAGGTGTACAAAAAACGACAACAAAATACGGCTTTGATTGTCACCTGTCAATAGGGGGAATTTTGAAATGTTACTAAATAAGAAAAAGAATTTACTATTCTCTTATGTCTCTTAAACAAAATATAACGTCCTAAAGATTCAAATTTCATCACTATACACCATTCGTAATCAACTGACAAAATTTTTAGGTAAAAATTTATTAATCTCCCATGCGTGTCCGGCCAATAAAACCACATGCACTGACATAATCTTCTTTAGTGTAAACGTTTCAATCACAAATGTGACCTTCAGTAGAATGGCAATACGGTATATTTTATTTCTGTCTTCATTATCCATTTGACGTCACGCGAAACCAGAAGAGTCCAAATGCGAATTAATTGGCCAGACAAGCATGGGGGATTATCGACATTTAGACCACATGATAAGTGTCAGATGTTATACAATAATTTATCGTTTTTCCTACTCTGTTTAGCTGGAAAATCACAATTGATAAAAAGTGCTATAATAAAACAAAAATGTTATAAAACCTCCCAATTACAATTATATTTTAATAAATAAAAGCTTACTTCTATGTTTGCAAGAAGGTGGTAACAAACCTATTTTAAGGTGTTCAAGCGGTGTCTGTTGAAAAAGATGCTGATATTATCCAGATCGAATTACTGTGCTTGTCTTTGATGCAACTTTTAGTATAAAACCTGAAAACGATAAAATACAGATTACCTAGTAATTAATTGTTCACTTTATTGGGCAAACTCTACGTAACACCGTTTCATAGGGAACGATGATGAAAGGGAATGATAAAACGATACTTAATAGTAAATAGAGCTTTGAGAAACGTCCAAATTAAACGTTTGATTTGTACGATTCAAATGTTGCTTCAAGTATGGGCTAAATTAATGGTCGGGAGTTCGTTAAAGAGTTGTGAGAAATTTGACAGAAATGTGCCCAGGTCTAAAGTTTGTACATGGAAAGCCGCGCCATAGTCAGTCACAAGGTAGCAAAGAACGTGCCAATGAAGATGACGAAAGAATTGCTCATGGTGTGGATGACCGATGAAAACAGTCAAAAAGATTCTAGTGAAAAATAATGAAAAATGGAATTAAAATATCGCCGTACCAAGCAATGTTTGGTTGTGATGTTAAAATTGGCTTAAAGACATCAGTTCTGTCTCTCGAAGCGATCGAAACGATCGGAAATGAGGATGATCTGGAGAAATTTCTTAAGCAGTTGAAAAATAACAGGTTTTAGTTATAACACATATAATAAGTAGAATAAATTCAAACAATTTAAAAATAGCCAACAATTTTAGATTCCCGAATCTTTCAAAAAGTGTCGCAGTTTTATTGCACTGTTCGGAAATTTACGATAAACAGAAAAGTCACCACTGGACACCTAAGCCAAACGCTTGTGATGACACCACAACCAAGAAGTTGAATTTTCCAACACACGCAATGATGAAAGATCGCCTATTACTGGAAACTCATGAAAAACAAATACAGAAAAGGCTGATTAGAAAGTCAAATATGACACTGTCGTAAATTGTAGATCATTGCAAGACTACAGAAATGTCCAATCAGCATAAAAAAGGAGAAACAGTAGAGCAAGTCAGCTTCGTAAAGCAATGCAGGAAATGTGGCAGAGAGCATGCGAAAAAGTTCGGGATTTAACAGAACTTGGCCAAATTTCAGAGGAAAAATCATTTCGCCAAGACGTGCCACTTCGAAGAAAGGAAGCAAGAATTGAGCATGAATGAATGGATGAATCTTGAAATTAGAGGCATTCCGGCCACCATAAGGAGTACCTCTACAATCCTTAGATCACACGCCTCGCCCTTTTAGCGAAGTTGAGAATCGCCTTGAGTTCAAGCTCCTTGACGTCCTGAGGGTCCAAAGTAATGGACCCCAGTATAGTCTGCCTATAGTAGCTCAGAGCTTCACAGCGACACAAAACGTGCGTCGAGATCTCTTCCTCTACTCCGCAGCGTTCGCACAAGGGATCCTCAGCCACCCCCATCACGTGCAGGTGCCGGCTTAACGTGTTATGGCCAGACAAAAGTCCCACCAGCAACCTTAGGTTGGCTCTATCCAGAGATAGGCAGAAGCGTCCATCCTTAGCACAGGGCCCTTCAATGAGTTCCCGTGCCTGGCGGAGATGTCTAGAGATACTTCTCCATTTCTGAGAGTGTTGTATTGCAACCCACGTCTCCATTTTCCTCCTAGCTTTATGCGCGGTCACTCCTAGAGCTGGCTCAGGACCAACGAGCTTGCTGGCTGGTCCTGTCTTCGCCAGAGTGTCCGCCGTCTCATTGCCCCTTATCCCAGCGTGCCCCGGTACCCATATCAACGATACCGGATGCCTCGCTGCGAGGCAATCCAGAGCCTCCCTGCATTGCAATACAAGACTCGAAGTAATCTTACAGGCACTTGCACTTATACTTGCAGCCTGGCTGTCGGATAAGATTGTTATTCTTCTCCTAGGCCCACCCTCCTCCAGAATGTGAGATACACAAGCCAGAATCGCAAAGATTTCCGCCTGGAAAATAGTGGTGTATCCACCGAGAGGCAGAGATAGCCTAGTTCTAGGCCCAGAGACCCCAGCACCTGAGCCCTCTTCGGTGACCGAGCCGTCCGTGTACCAGACCTGCCCGCTCACTTCGGGCATCCCACTCCTCCCTCGTTGGATACTCCACAATAAACTTGCGGTTGAAGCGATATTTAGGGGTAATACGATCACCCCTGCTTAGAAGGACGGGGTTATCCCTTTCTAATTCGACTAAGATGGCAGTATGCCCCTTAACCGGATTCAAGAAAGTCCAGCTGCCCTGACTCCACAGTCGATGAGCGACTACTCTCGCTTCACCGCGGATCACCAGATCCAACAGTGGGAGATCCAACATAGTTTCCATTGCACTCAATGGCGTTGTTCGCACTACGCTTGTAATACTAATACAGGCCAAACGCTGAATTTGATTGAGTTTGGCCTTTGTTGTCTCAGTTCTAATGCAAGGCCACCAGACCAGGGGGCCGTACAAGAGAGATGGACGTACTATCGTCGTGTAGAGCCAGTATACCATTTTGGGTTTAAGCCCCCACCTTACCCCGACAGCACGTCTACAAGCCCACATCAAATTGCGAGCCTTGCTAACCATGTATTTCACATGCTCTCTCCAGTTCAGTTTGCAGTCCAGGATAATTCCCAGATATTTCACTGTCTGGGACAAAACTAGTCTAGTCCCAAAGAAGGTCGGCATGACCAGCACGTCAAGCCTGATGAAAGAGTGATTAATGGTTCTTCAAGTTCTTTGCACGCTAATATCCAAGTATTCAAGACCTTTATCAGATTTATTTTAGATACTGGAGTAGAATCCAAAAAACAATAAAACCTACAAATGTCTTTATAATTTCGTATGAAAATTTTAAATCAAAAGCTCATTGAAATTTAGCTTCAAAGGTATAAACAGAAGTGTAAGCTTTTTAATATCAGATGTTGTGTCAGAGCCAATTAGGGGGTTAGGAGAGTGTTTAGAAAGTTATATATATATAATGGATATTCTAAAAGATGTGGCACAAAATGTATTGGCTTTAATTTTAACGAGCACAAAATAATATCAAACGAAGGTTTGTTTACTTTACTGTCAGTTGACATTTATTTGTTTTAAAGTTTTTGCTTTAAGATCTATAGAAATGAGAAAAAGTATCTACAAGTTGGTTGGGCGGGTATCCAAACTTGAAATCTGTCGAATACTCCAGAATGAAAACATTTCACGCAAAACCATTTATCGAACAATAGATAATACTATGTCTGAATCTCCCAAAAAGTGGAAGACCACGTGATTTACTGCACAGAGATCAGAGAGATTGGCGAGAAGTACAAAAAATCAGGTTGGAACGTCAACAAGGAGACTGGCTCGTGAATACAGATCTTCTAAGAGGACGACATCGTTGGAATTGAGAAGTAATGGTCTTAAATATCGAAAGAGACTAAAGTGCCTCAAATACTCTCAAGCGCAACTCCTTCGTGTACCGAGATGCTGTCGTCAACTGCGACGGGTACTCTTTGCCAATGGAAAAAACATTATTTTAGATGACGGAATATATTTCACTTTAAGGAATTCTGAAAAGAAGGGAAACGACGGATTTTATACCGACAACGCCCTGACAATGTTACATACAAACATAAAGCGAAATGTGCAGATAAAATCCTTGTCTGGTGCGAAATTTCTAGCAGGGGTGTATCCCAACCTTTTCTGGGAAGAATGAGGGGTGAAGCATTGAATAGTCAGTCATAAATTAATATTTTGTGCCAAAACTGTTAGGACATACGTTATTAGAAGGCTTAGGTTGTTTGCCAGATACTGTTGATATTAAGCTAGGGTCAAAGCCATTCCACTAATACAGGCAGAAAGAAATGTACCATTAGCCCTGCACAATAAACTAGAAGAAATTTTGAATTACAGGTGGGTTGATTTATGAATGCTAATTGAAAAGTCTGATGGTTCACTTCGCATGTGCCTTCATTCAAAGTATATTTGCAGAGAATATTATTTAATACCAAATCTGATGATATTTTAAGTAGATTAAAGAATAAAACTGCATTCTCAGTAATGAGATGAAAAATGGGTTTTGGTAACTGAAATTGCCGGAAAAAAGTGCCAACTTGAGAACATTTAATACACCCTTTGGAATATTTAGGTTCAACACGAGGCTTGATCAGTTGAAACCCATCTTTGGCCAGGCTAGCCTTGGAAACAATTCTAATCACCTAACTGACGTTTAGTTGTATTTAACTGCGATTTTAAGTATTGTGGCCTAAAAATGGCGGTTGTTGTTAACAATCCGTCCAAATGTCGTCATTCATTTTTTTGTGAGCTGAAGGTTTGCAACCATTGCAAATTCATACGCGAATGCAAGCAGTGCATGAAAACGCATGTCTTGCGAATCCTGCTATCAAGGAATGGTGTCGAAAATTTAGAAAGAAGACGAATGATAAGCCGCGACCAGGTGCATCAACAGACAGGAATGTGGCATGTGTGGAAGGCATGCTTAAAGAAAATCTTCGAATTTCAAGCAGCGACGAATCTTGGTGTCATTGTTTTGAACCATCCGGTGAGCTGCGATGCAATGGAAACATGCAAATTCTCCGCCACCGAAGATGTTTACAGTTTAACCTTTTGCAGGAAGGTCATGGTAAATTTCCTTGTTCATAGAGTTTAAAGAACCTACAGTCCATATCAATGCAACCTGTAAAATGAAACTTTGAACAATCTCCATCAAGCAACGAGACGAAAACGTCCAGGGAAGCTCTCACGTGGTGTCATTCTTCTGCACGACAATGATCGGTCTCATGTTGCCAGAGTAGAGAAAGAAAATCTACAGTGGAGGAAATGGGGGATATTAGAGGATCCCGATTTATCGCCATGCGATTTTCACATCTCTGAGCCACTGAAAAATGCTTTAAAAGGTATAAGCATTTTCAGTCGGACGCAGACGTACAAAATGGCAAGCAGCAGTCACAAGAATTCTTTAAGCAGGGTATACATCGATTAGTGAAACAATGGGACATGTGCCTTAATTGTAGTGGTAATTATTTGTAGATATACCGGATGTCTGCGAAAGGTTGGGAAATCTCGAAACTGGAGATACTTCAGACCAAAATCTGTGAATTGGCCTAAAAATACCTTAGTCCAACTCAACGGGTCCTATTAAATATTGTCCAAACATTCCTGCCCATACATTAATTTGAAATTGTACTTGGTGGCGGGTTTGTATGTATTATTGCATGAGCATTTTCGTCTGCATCAATGTGAAGATTATGCGAGTTAATGGGTCCATCCCTTCCAAATCCTGCTTCGTTCGAAAATAATATTATCGAAGTAAAACCATTGTCGTGGTTAAACGTCCTTAAGAGCCATGTACAAGATTCTACCCTTGCGGGTTCATCATGCGCGCTTAAACTATGTACTCTTTGCAGATGATATGGATGGAGCAGTTGCATTTGAAAGATGAAACATTTGGAAACTTGAAATTCTCGAGGTACATTCCTAACTCCAACTGTAGGATTTTCAAAGACATCAAATTCACGTACGGTTCTGGGCCCCGCTAAAAATCGATAATAACATTGTAACTTTGACACCCTGTATCTCGCAAACTATCAACTTTTGGTCTAAGGTATGATTAGGTCAATTCACATATTTTGGTCTGTCGTATCTTCAGTTTCGAGATTTCCCAACCTATCGCAGACATATATTATATGACATATAAAATGCAACACCCAGAATTGTTTATTTAATTTTGAAAAAAGCTTGTAAACATATTTGCTATCATGAAAGTATACGCCGATAAAATATTAAAGGCATTCCGAGCCGTACTTTTTCGTAAACGCGCTTTTTTATCATATCAGGATCCGAACAATATGAACTTGTTGTTTCATTGCATTATCCACTTTCAGAGTTAGATTGGGGTGTATAATTGGGTTACGTGAAGCCGGATTTTCTTTAGAGAAATCGCTAATCGGGTGGACAGAAACGAAGCTACTGTAATGAGATGTTGCCGAGCGTGGTTCCAAGAAGGCCGAAACCGACGAGTTCGAGGTACTGGACGTCAAAGACGAACAACAGAGTGACATTTGTGGCAACTGACACTTAAAGATCGATTTTCCTCATTAAGGGCAGTTGCGAACCAGTGGTCGGAAGGGCAATAACAATGAGGACAGTTTATCGCCGAATATGGCCTTTTTGACTGTTTTCTTACCGTCCCCATCATGTACTACCTCTGACCTCACAGCATCGTCGGCAACGATTGGAATGCAATAGGGAGAGACATAAATCGAATATGGAATGAAACTCAGTCGTGTTCAGCGATGAGTCCAAATTCTGTTTGGGCACACTTGATGGCCGTGCAAGAGTATGGATTGAGCGAGATATTCCATCGAAAGGCACATTTATCGCTTTGTGGGTGTTATGGTATGGAGCGCCATTGCTAACGGCAGCAGGTCACGATTAGTGTTCATTCGATGTAGCATGACTGCCCAGCGCTATATCCACGAAGTTTTACAATCACATCCGTTTACATTTTTCGGAACATTGCAAGATCCACTTTTTTAGCAGGACAATGCGCGACCTCATGTCGCACGTATTAGTTTAGACTTTTTAGAAGCGTCCTGAATAAATCTGCTTCAGTGGCCTCTCCAGATCCCTCCCCCATCGAATATGCAAGGGACATGATAGACAGACATAATAGATTTCAGGAAGCCAAATTCAGATAGCATGAGATACAATATACCAAAAAGACATCAATCACATAATCCAATCAATGCCGCGACCACTTAACGAATGTGCAGCGAACAGAGGAGCTTCAACACATTAATAACATCAAGGCGGAATATCTCAGCTATTTTTCGAAATTTCGCATTAATATTTGAATCACTTTCTATTTATCAGTAGACCTAAAACTTGTAAAAGTATGCTCAAAATTACAGCGCTCCTAGTCGGTGTTGCATTTTCTATGTCATTTAGTTTATTTGCCAATACATTTTTTATGGACCAAAGGTGACTTTCAATTGAACAAACCTCGTATAAGGGGAAACGTGTATAAGCATGTTGAAACATGTCCTCAAATTGCAGAGAGAGTGGCTGTGGACACCCACGATGAACAACGAAGCGGGTGGCCGTCGATCTCCGAGGAAGTTGTGGCGAAGAATGAGCAAATTTCGCTCGAAGATCTTCCAGAACAGCCGGTTGAAATTCCTGAGGCAACTACCAAGTTTTTGAATGGGCTAGCGGCGAACTTCCTTAAGGCGAGAGTGCAAATGTGGATTGATGACGACTATGGAGAAAAATAGCTTAAAGACCGACGTGTCTAATGGTGAATCCGTTTTTCAAATGAAAAATGCCTGATACTTGAAAAAAATGTGGGAACCTTGTTTTTGAAATAACCCTCGTAATTAACAGAGATTTGTGTCTGCCATCTGTGCTACACGAGCGGCTTTTATCGAAGGCTGGGCAAGCAGTCTTGTCAGCTGAAATAGGTTTTAAGCCGATACAGTTAAAAAATTCATGTTTTAAAAGGGGCATTTGTAGTTAACATTTTCACTATAACACCGTTTCAATTTCCTCATGAGTTCCAATGGATGATCTTTCTTTATGAAAGTTGGCTAGTATTTATTTCTTTCAGCCTTTATAACTAACAGCATTTATCATCTTTTTTCGTAACTTCGGGTGTTATTTAAGTACGTGGACAAACGTCAAAAGTATCAAACGTTTTTTTTAAAACCAGTTTCCTTAATGTATTAATGAACTTTCAGTCGATTTTGTTCAAATTTAGCAGTGGTATTAAGGGTAATAAGAAGCCAAATTAGCCCCAATTAGATTGACATTATTAAATCCGGTGGGGTCCCGAAAAACATCGTAACCATCATCTTAGAAAAAAAATTTGTGCGCCCTGACTTTTTTCAATTGTTCTAAGCGGCTAAGAATACAACTTATTGGGTCTTGGGTTTCTTTCATATTATCTCAGTTCGTTTGCGAGATAAAAAATAAAAAGCACTTTATTGCATGTTTTTGATAATTAAGATACACGAAAGTCGTCTTTCGAATGTTACTGCTCAGATTATACCTGCTGACGATAAAACAAATAAACATAAAATATTTACATAGCGCTGGAAATTAAAAAAAAAAATAGACCGGGAAAACGTTTTTTTTTAAAACTAGGTACACTTAAACTTTTGTTTCAATAAAAACACATAGTTATAATAGTTGCTGAAAATGCCCTCATCGCAAGCATTAGCTAGGCTTAATATCAATTGTCGAAGTCGTAAATAAAATACGAGATAGAAATTTCATAAACCTGTTGTTGCAAAAGCAAAGAACAATAAACGACTGGTTGTAGAAAATTATTATTAATAATTTTTAGTGATTGGGCCTTGCAACAGCTTTTATCGAAAAATTGTGTTGAGCGATGAGGCTCACTTTTGGCTAAATGGATATGTTAACAAGCAAAATTGCCACATCTGGTGTGATAAGGCTATACAGGAATTGCCCATGCATCCAGAAAAAACATCAGTTTGGTGTGGTTTATGGGCTGGTGGAATTATCGGGCCGTTTTTCTTTACACACATTGGATGATCTGATTTGGTTGACATGTGGTTTCAACAAGACGGCGTCACATGCCACACAGCACGTGAAACAATGGACATTTTAAAAAGTAAATGACAAGAACCAGTTTATCGATTCCAATATGGATTTTGAAAACATAATGCATTTTTAGCTTTTTATTCAATATTTCAAAAAAGGCTCTTAAAAAATCACCCGTTACAATTATTTACCAGAATCTGTTAAACTCTTAAAAAATCACCTTAAGAGGATGCTCTTATCTAACCCTTTCTACAGCATAGATGAGTTCCTTGTGGTTCTGAACGACCTGAAATAATTCAATTGTAAGGAGGTCCATTAACTTGGCATTCACATGCATGTTTTAAATTTTCTATATTCAGTTTGTTTGTTGTTCTTTTAGTTTGTTTTTTATTTCATCTTTACTTTTGAAATATTCCGTGTTACACATGTGACGTGTTCCTCTCTATACTTATGTATAGTGTTCGGACCTAATAAAAGAATTTGAATATGATGTTTTCTTATGTTAAACCAAGTAATATACATATAAAGAAACTCAAAAGACAAAAAAGTTGTATTTTTAGCTGCTCAATCCGAAAAAATAGAATAATATAATCACCTCCTGAAGTTTGGCCACGTGCTTAAATAACACATTCTATAACGTTCTGTTTACGGTGGTGTTCCGACTTATTTCTTCTATCTCATTCATACACTCACACCTAGTTCGATAGGATCATCGGGATCCTCTAATACCAGTTAACGAGTTTTCAAGGAATGATGAACTAGTTCACTTAATTCAATCGTAAAAAATTGTTCGATGAAACTAGTTCGTTCGCAAACTGGTACGTAGGCTTATTTTCGCGCAGGCACGACTTTCAATTATATGGAATATGTTAATCAATGACTACATAACAAGATCTTAAACTATCTACCTCATATAACAGCCAATTTCTGTCTCCGTTCGTGACGTCGTCGTACGAACAGCGTGTCCTCACAAGCACCAGGGGCAGCTGGTCAGACCCGCCTCGTTAATGGGCGGTGGTCATCGGCCCCCGGTGGGCGTGTCTTCTTGGCTCCGCCTACGCGCTCCGACCATCGAATTCCTCCGCTCCGCCCCCTCGTTGTCGTCGTCCTCGCTGAGCCGCGAAGAGGAGCCGTCCGCGTTGCAGAGTCGACACCGGCTGCACGCGATACACGGCGCAGCTAACAACAGGAGCGGCGAAGCGACCAGAAGCAGGATGCCGAAGCTGGCGAAGATGCCGACCACTTGCGTGCGATGCCACAGAACGGAGGCGCGGGAGTGACCGAGCTTGTTTTTGCACGGGCCGCGGTCGTAGTGCCGCAGAAGGAAGTCGTCCTGTAAAAATACGAGAGACATTGTAATAAATTGTTTTAACCAAATTCATATATCGATTGCTTCGGGCGGAAAGAGTTATCGAGTTGCGGTATTCGGGAGGTTCTTCAACAACTCTTTGAGAAAACGTACAGGGTTCGATCGGTATATTTCTTTTATTTATCAACTGATACAGGGTGAGCAAAAGTAAGTCATGTTTTTTTTAGCAAAGTTTGGGGCTATGTCATTCCAATAGTTCATAATAAGTAATAAAATGTTGAAAAGCTACAAACGTTTTAAAATTACTCTTTTTAAATGTATAATTTTCTGTTTTTTTACTAACTTATTCGATAAAAAATGCAATTTTCTGTAAAAAATCTCCTAGTAATGAAATGTGCAAATTATGTAAATAATATCTCTATCTAACAAGCTTTCATTTGAGGTATTAAGCGTTCAATTATCAGAAGTACATGCAGAGAAACAACAATGACACCCACAGAGGCTGGATTTTTAAGGAATTTGTATTACCTGTTTGAACAAGTCGTTACTGTCCTCAAAGGACTCGCATGCCATGATTGTTTTATCTTAGTGGAGGAGTGAGAGAGAGAGAGAGAGCTGTTATTATTCGTCATTGTAGTTACGCGATCGCCGCACGCCGAGAATTAGGTTTAGCTGGTATCTACTACTGCGTACGTGCACACGTTTTACGCACGATTATTATTTTCGAGTTTCCCAGTTCATTTCGAGTGTTTTTTTTATCATCACGGCAGACGCAGAAGATCCGCCAGGACCTCGCCATAGCGAGCAAGGGCAAACTTTTACAAATGAATAATACGCAGACATAATGTTCTGTTATGGACTTTGTAACGGCGGTTCTGCAGCTGCCCGCCGTGAATATCGGCAACGTTTCCCAAATCGCCGAACACCTCATGTTACTGTGTTTGACTCTGTGTATCGGCGCATCCGCCAAACCGGACGTGTTCAAAGGCAACATAGTGATGCTGGTTGACCCCGAGTCTATCCTCCTGAAGATGAAGAGGAAATCCTTCGTGTGTTTCAGGAAGACCCTACACTACGTCTACGCGCATTGTGGCTGCTCAGTTGGGTATATCACAATACAAAGTATGGTTTACTGTGCATACTGCAAGATTATACCCTTATCACTACACGCCTGTGCATGTGATTGAAGAGGGCGATCCTGCAAGACGATTAGATTTCGGCAGGTAGATATTACATACAGATACAGAAGATCCAGACTATTTTAAGAAAATTCTGTGGACCGATTAATCGAAGTTTGATAAGGACAGGATCACTAACTACCATAATGCTCATTACTGGGCTGATAAAGAAGCTTTAAACCCCCGAAAAATAAGACCGACGGGGTCTCAGAGCCGGTTTTCAGTCAATGTGTGGATGGGCATCATTGATGGATATTTAATTGGACCTTATTTTCTGCCCGCCAATTGAAATGGCGAAGTGTATGAAGAGTTCTTGAAAAATCACTTGTTTCCATTAATGGAAGACGTCCGATTGGCGACGAGACAAAATATGCGGTTCCAGCACGACGGCTGTCCCGCACACTACAGTAGATTAGTACGGGCGTATTTAGACTCTAAATTTACAAATCAATGGATTGGCAGAGGCGGGTCCATTGCCTGGCCAGCAAGAAGCCCAGATCTCACACCGATGGATTACTATCTGTAGGGACATATGAAAAGCCTGGTGGACGATGTTTCGCACGTACCAACGCGCGATGAATTAATTACAAGGATAATCAATGCAGCTGACCAAATAAAATGCCGCTTAACCAAAAATGAATTACGTAAGAGAATGCGGGCGTGTATTCGTAACAGGGGATTACAATTTGAGCAGAATCTGTAAAATACTAAAGGAAATATAATTAAATAAAACTGTAATTAAAATAAAAGCCTTTTAGTTATCCTACGTAATTATCGTTCGTACAACTTTACTCATCTTTTTTTTAATTTTATGTCTTTGTAGTTGAGTTAGTTGGAACTTTTATACCTCAAATGAAAGCTTGTTAGATAGAGATATTATTTACATAATTTGCACATTTTATTACTAGGAGATTTTTTACAGAAAATTGTATTTTTATCGAATAAGTTAGTAAAAAAATAAGAAAATCATACATTTCAAAAGCGTAATTTTAAAACTTTTGTAAGTGTTCAACATTTTATTACTTATTATGAACTACTGGAATGTCCGCTATGCGACGATAAGAAAAAACTCAAAATCAAACATGTAGTATAGGGAGTATTCCAGTGGCGTAACAACAAAAGCATTTTTCGGTTTGGTAAGAAGTGCTATTAATTTAAAAAAAAATATATTTTTCAAAATGCTATGATGTTGGCCAACACTGCTTTCCATATTTTATCTATATTTTTTTATATTTGTCATTCAGCATTGGCGTACGCGTCTTCAGTGAAGATGTTTTCCAGGTAATTGACTCTATTAAATTTTAAACTACATCAAAGAATTTATTGATTAACATTAACAAAATGTAACATTTTAGAAAACAAAAATCTGAAGACCAGTTAAATACCCAAATTATTTATTCATGACAAAAACGAACTTTTTACAAACAGCAACAGTTATTTTAAACAATATTGTTAGTACCTTGAAGGGTCACCCATCGATCACAGCCTACGATACTTTCCAGAAGGTAACAAATAAATTCTCGGGATACATTTTCCCACTCTTCCTGAATAGCCCCAGACAGCTCCTCCATTGTTGAGGAGCATTTTGTCTTGATGCTCAATGATGTTTAGCTAGATCATTCACTAAAGGACCTTGATCTTATACAATTCTCTCGGGCTTTTTAAGAAAATAAAATTATACTATTAAGTTTACAGTCAATATTATTGTTATTGAGCAATTGCATGTTTGAGGTGTAGGTAGTGAGGATGAAACCGGAGAAAAGTCATAGAAATGTCCCGAAAACCATTTATTGCGGGAAGTTAAAAATTCGATAATCTAAGTTATAGCCAACTTTCGAAAAATATGAGTTCTCTTTTTTTAGGATATTCCAAAGATCAAAAAGATGCATACAGGTAAAAAATTGACAAGATCTGAAATTGGGGATCCGACAAGGAGTTGGTGAAGAACCTCCCGAATAGCGCAACTTGATATCTCTTTCCGTTCCGAAAATTTCGGATTTGAATTTGGGTAGGATTTTCCATGTTGTAAAGCAATTGTCCACCAGTTTAGATGTAAGAGTCAAACAAAAAATGGCGTCAAGTAGATTGACTGTATACTTCATACGCCTTCTTTGGAAGTTTCGGAGAAAAATGATGTGTTACGTCGTTCCAAAAGGCGGAATCTAATCGTGACTAGGGACGCTCACTTAGGTACGCCGAATCTTCAAACTGTATAAGATAATTTATATATTACATATTTATCTTTCCTTGACATATGTAGGAAAAATACAGGGTTTCAAAGTTGAGTCATTTATTTTAACTGTTTTGTAGGAGTCGTCAAAAGAAGTTTATATACCAACAATCGCCTATATAAAAGTTGCATGTTCAATTATATTCTGGAAAAAGTTGAACACCTTGTAACTAAAAATTGGTGAAACCTCCACAGACAGCTAACCGAAAAAAATAGCCGTAAAAATCATTATGTGTCTAGTATTAAAAAAAAAGCTTATAAAAAATTAAATCCAAACTTGCACAAATATACAGGGTGACATTTTTGAGAAAAACTACAATTTGCGTTTTTGACCACCGTGGATGAGTAAAAATTAAAATTCGAAAAAGTAGCAAATAAGATAAAAGCTGAGGTGTGTACGTTTTGTTTGATACAAAATTCATCACTCCAAATTTCAAAATGGCGGATTGAGGGGTTGCCAAAGTGGACGGTTTTTCTGGACGAAACACCTTACATCTCAGTAGCTAATTACTAAAACTCCATACTATGTTATATCAATCTTCTTCGTTTGAATTGGTTTATCCAAATAAGCAATAAAATTTGAGGCATTCCATTAAAAAAATCACAACTTTGATATGTAGCTCAAAATTGGGACACCCTGTATAATTGCCAATATTTTAGAAATGTGCCTACAAATGTCATGTATAACATGCCATAAATAGATTTTCCGAAAATGTATTGTTTTATGAGTAATATTCCGTCCACACATGGATAGGCCACCCTGTATATAATAATAATAATATTTATTACCCTCATTAAACAGTATAGACAAGGTTTACAAACAAAAAAGCCTTAAGAGGATAAAGGGTTACATCAGCTTGCCCCTTAAAGAAGCAGCTGCTAGAGAAAAAAAAACAAACAAATTCAAACAATTCTATAGTAATGCAAATGGCCATTATGACATTGATAATTAATAATGTTTTAATCTTAATTTAAATATTCCTGATATTTTACAAACTGTTGAAAAATCATCTTCTACCAAATCATTTTGAAAATTTTATTGTATTGAACAATGAGTGCCACAATTATTCTACTAGAGGAAGTAGGGAAATGGAAACTTAGAGAGAGAAGAGAAAGCGAGGGGAAAGAGAAGAAGAGAAAAGGGAGAGCACGAGATGTGTTTTCTATGATATCTGAGACAGTAAATCACTTTTAAGGTTTCTCTTAAACGGAGCTACCGAGAGAAAAATCTTTAATTTTGAATTTATTTACCAAAAAGGCAATTTGATATGAGAATGATTTCTTAAATGATTCTTAATTGTGTGATGGTATTGTAATCAAATTCAATGTTCTAATGTTTAGATTATGTACATCAGTCCGATAACTAATTTTTAAGTAAAGATACGGAGGGCTTTTATATGTTATAATCTTGTAAAAAAAGGAAGTAGAGTGCAAGGTACGCCTCTGAGACATATTCAACCATCCGAGTTCAGGTAGTTTGTGGGATACTCTTTGTCTATCCAGTCTCAGACAAGAATTCTGAGCTTTTTGAACCAGTTTTAGTTCCCGTTTTAGTTATCTGTTGAGTTGGTACCAAGTGACAACTGACAAATGAATGGGGGATTGAGTAGGAAGAA